TTCGGCGTATAGCCAGGGCGATCTGAGGATCACAGTGAAGGCTTCCCCGTCTAGTGCGTCTCCACGGGCCCCTCACTCCTCCAGCACATCGCATCCTCTGGTGTTATGTGATGAGGTGGCTGAAACCCCGGAAAGGGCGGGGTCTAGCATCTCATCCGGGCCTCCGGCAGATGACAGAATGTCGATCACTGCATCGGGCACGAGCTAGGCTCTGGAGATGAGGACTCGGCTGCGCTGCCTTCGTCAGGATGAGTGGCGTTGCCCGAGTCAGATCCAGAGCTGACTACTATGCTTTGCCGGGTCACCGAGAGCGTCGGGTTGCAATGGAAACCCCCTCCATCTCCCGAACACTCGAGGTTGGATGATTGGCTCCTGGGGGTGCCGCAGGCCGATCGTCAGTAGCCAACTCTGGTTCCATTCTTCCCGGAAGTGCATGAAGAAGTTACTAGATCTTGGAGGGCACCTTTTTCTGCCAAAAAAAGAGCTAGTGTTTCTTCCGTCCTCACTGCCCTTGATGGCGGGGCGGCTAAGGGGTATGTGGAGATCCCCCCAGTTGAGCGCGCTATTGCAATGCAGCTCTGCCCGCAAACCGCCTCCGCTGCCTGGCGGGGTAATCCACGCCTCCCGTCCAGGGCCTGTAAGTTCTCGTCTGCTCTAACGGGGAAGGCTTACAGAGCTGCTGGACAGGCCGCCTCCGCCCTGCACGCAGTTCTGACCCAGGGGTAATGCAGGAACTATGCACGGCGAAGAAAGTCACGGCGCGGTCCCTCGGTCAGACGATGTCCACCCTGGTGTGCCAGGAAAAACACCTATGGCTGAACCTGGCAGATGAGGGAGGCCGACAAGCACCGTTTCCTGGACTCCCCGATCTCCCAGACTGGCCTCTTCGGTGATGCAGTGGAGAGCTTCGCCCAGCAGTTCTCTGCCACGCAGAAGCAGACGGAGGCGATCAGACACATCCTGCCCCGGCGGCCCGCTGCTGTCATCACCCCGCCGCCGGTGAGGTGATGCTCCAGCTCGGCCTCAGCAGCAGCCTTCACACCGGCTGCAGCGTGGAGCTGGCAGCAGGAAAAGCGGTGCAGCCTGTCTCTGTCCCTGCCAGGCCCGTAAAGCACCAGAGCAAGCGGCGTTCCTGAGACGAGCGACCCGGAGACTCTGGATCCTGTTCTTCAGGAGATGGTGACGGCACCACTCCTTCCCTCGGAGGAGCTGGGTGTAGAATATTTTGTTTCCTTTTGTTTTGTTCCGCCAGTGGCTCCCCAGCCGGTGGTACCCAAATATTCAAATAAAAGAGCAGTTTCCTATTTCTCCGGATCTCAAGAGGGCGAGGATGGCAGTGTGCGAGACACGGCCTCGACACTCCCGTCCCCCTCTCCTTTCGCCAGTGGTCAGCAGGGCCCGGTTTGAGGACGCTATGCCTTCTCACGCACCCCCTGCCCAACCGTGGAGCCAGGTAAGTGTTGCACTGAGCACTCAGACCCCACTCCGGGACGCTGTGCCTTCCGGGTTGGGTCCCTGTGCTCCACCTCGCTGCCCCAGTCAAGTAAAGTCGCCTTTATTTATATAGCGCTTTTAACAATACAGATTGTGTCAAAGCAACTGTACAGCATTAATTAGGAAAATAGTGTGTCAATAATGCAAAATGACAATAGTAAACACTAATTTTTCAGTTAAAGGCAGTTCATCATTGAATTCAGTGATGTCATCATCCAGCTCAGTTCAGTTTAAATAGTATCTGTGCAATCAAGTCAACGATATCGCTGGAAATGAAGGGTCCCCAACTAAGCAAGCCAGAGGTGACAGCGGCAAGCAACCAAAACTCCATCAGTGACAGAATGGAGAAAAAACCTTGGGAGAAACCAGGCTCAGTCGGGGGGCCAGTTCTCCTCTGGCCAGACAAACCAGCAGTTCAATTCCAGGCTGCAGCAAAGTCACATTGTGCTCAACAGTGGACTCAACTGGTTCCTGTGGTATTGTCCCGGTGGCCGTTTGAGACAAGGTCTTTACTGGGGATCTGTCTCTGGGGCTCATCTAGTTGTCCTGGTCTCCGCTGACATACAGGGCTGTAGAGGTCCTCTCTAGGTGCTGATCCACCATCTGGTCTGGATACGTACTGGATCCGGGGGGCTGCAGTTATCATCTGACCTGGATACAGACTTGATCTGGTGGCTACGGTGACCTCGGTGACCACTGCGGGTATGTTGGTGGGTCCCGTAGTCCCGCTTGTTCGGTTCCTGGGGGCCTGGCTAGTGCTCCCCAGACTGTCTCGCTGGCTCATGAGAACCATCAGACTCGGCTATGTGATTCAGTTCGCCCGGTGTCCTCCCAAGTTCAGGGACATTCGATTCACCTCTGTGCCAAAAAAGGATGCTCCTGTCTTGCGAGCGGAAATCGCAGTCCTGCTGGCGAAGGATGCGATAGAGCCGGTCCCTCCAGCCGATATGAAGTCAGGGTTTTACAGCCCCTACTTCATTGTACCCAAGAAAGGCAGTGGGTTGCGACCAATCCTGGAACTGCGCGTTCTGAACCGGGCCCTTCACAGGCTCCCATTCAGGATGTTAACGCAGAAACATATCTTTCGATGCGTTCGTCTGCTCGATTGGTTTGCAGTGATCGACCTGAAGGACGCGTACTTTCATGTTCCGATCCTCCCTCGACACACTCCGTGCAGAGGATCTCTTTTCTTGGTATGGAGTTGGACTCTGTCAATCTTACAGCGCATCTCTCAGTAGAGAGCGCTCAGGCAATGCTGAGCTGCCTGGAGTCATTTCAGCACAGGAGGGTGGTTCCACTGAAACAGTTTAAGAGGCTCCTGGGGCATATGGCATTCGCTGCCGCTGTCACGCTGCTCGGATTGCTTCATATGAGACCGCTTCAGCATTGGCTTCACGACCGAGATGGGCATGGCAACGCGGTACTTACCGGGTCTCAGTCACCCCATCCTGCCACCAGACCTTCAGCCCATGGTCGGGCCTTGCCTTTCTTCGGGCAGGAGTTCCCCTAGTGCAAGTGTCCAGGCATGTTGTTGTCTCAACAGATGCCTCTGCCATAGGCTGGGGTGCCATGTGCAATGGGCATGCAGCATCGGGCACCTGGACAGGGCCTCATCTGCAGTGGCATATCAATTGCCTCGAGATGCTAGCAGTATGGCTTGCTCTGCGCCGCTTCAAATCGCTACTACACGACAAGCACGTACTGGTCCGGACGGACAACACTGCGACCGTTGCGTACATCAACCACTAGGGTGGTCTTTGCTCCCGTCGCATGTCGCAACTCGCCCGCCAGTTTTGGAGTCAGAAGCATCTGAGGTTGCTTCACGCCGTTCACGTCCCAGGCGATCTCAATCATGCAGCCGACGAGCTCTCACGTCAGCCTGCCCTTCCGGGAGAATGGCGACTCCACCCCGAGACAGTCCAGCTGATCTGGAGACGCTTCGGGGATGCTCAGGTAGACCTGTTTGCCTCTCCGGACACGTCCCACTGCCAGCTGTTTTACTCCTTGTCCGAGGGGACCCTCGGCACAGATGTGCTGGCACACAGTTGGCCTTGGGGCCTACGCAAGTATGCGTTTCCCCCAGTGAGCCTTCTCGCACAGACACTGTGCAAGGTCAGGGAGGATGAGGAGCAGGTCCTCTTAGTAGCACCACACTGGCCCAGTCGTACTTGATTCCCAGAACTGATGCTCCTCGCGACAGCCCCTTCTTGGTATATTCCTCTGAGGAAGGATCTCCTTTCTCAGAGAGGTGGCACCCTCTGGCACCCGCACCCAGACCTGTGGAATTCCAGACCACGTGTGGTCTCTGGACAGGACACGGAGGTTCTAGGTGATCTACCTCCAGCGGTAGTTAACACCATCACTTCAGCTAGAGCGCCCTCTACGAGCAGGGCCAGATTAACATAAGGGCTATGCGGGGTTAAAGCCCCAGGGCTCGCGGATTGAGGGGGCCTGATGTAATTGGCTGTGGAGGAAAGGAAAAGTAGACCTAGAACTGATTGGCCATCGGGAGCACCCGAGCTTTCCCGGTGTGCCGATTGCCGAAATCCCACCACACCCCCACATTTTCTGTGCTATTTCAGTCCAAAAGATATGAGTGATAAAAATGTCTTTGTACTCATTTACACTAGAGTTGCGGGTAT